TCCAGAATGTAAGCTGAGGAACAGGTATTTACTGCCTCAGAAAGTGATGAAGAATTCTTTATGTCAGGGAACAAGAAGAAACTTAACTCAGCATCTCTCTGCTGGGAGGAAACATCCATTGCATATTATCCCATGCATATGGATAGGTACATATTTAAAGATTCATCTTTCTGGTTTTAGACCTAAATCCTGGTGGAAAACAATATGTAACTTAGGAATCTTGGATATAAAATTATCATGCTTCTGCTCAGTGCTGTTTAACTGCTGAATTAATCAAGTACAATTGCTTAAGCCCTGGAGGGAAGGATGTAATAAATCTTGGGAGTATTTGTTCTGGTTTATGGCTGGGAGAAACTGCGTAACACTAAATCAGATGTTATAAACATTTGCAATGGCACATTTTCCTAACTCGGGGCATTGTGGCATGAGTCTTGAGAAAATAAAGAGGGTATGTCCTGAAGGCTGGATGCGTTTATTCTTTTTTTTTTGTAGTTGACAGTGTTGCTTTACAAGGGGTGGGAAGGGGCCGACTGCTGAGCGAGCCGCACTTGTATATCCCACACTTTCGGGTAGGGGGCAGTCGGGTACCGCAGACGGCGCACGGAGCCCAGCTCCGGGCTGAGCCTGCTGCCCTAGCCTGGGGGAAAGAGCACCACCACCACCACCCTCGAAAAAAAAAAAAACCTTCCACTGATCTGGAGAAAAAGAGAGATAGATTCGATAGATTCGTTGCACCTGGACTCTGATATTCCTCTGGAAGTGGACAATTTACTGATGGTACGTGGAGCTGGGAGCAGGAGCTGTGCAGACACGCGACAACCAGTCGAAAAAATTATCCTGCCTTAAATACGAATCTTCCTGAAGTTAAAATGGAGCTGTCTTGAGTTGTTTTCCTCCCTGCAGTGAGGGACAGTCCCAGCATGCTGTGCCGAGCAGAATGTGTGCTGTTCTCATGCACTGCACGTCCTGCCCTCTGGGACTTTCATCACTGGAAGCAAAGCGAGGAGGCAGATTCTCTTTCCCCAGAAAGGACACGTGCCTGCCAATCCAGCAAAGGGAGCTTTGTCTCCACTTTAGGGGACAATGTCCTGAGACAATTGTGGGGTTTTTTTCTCCCAATTTACAAGTACCTGAACAGGCCAGTTGCACTGTGCTTGTTCACTGCAAGCTTTGCTCTGAACCCTTCAAAGCTGCTTAGGACCTTTGGAAAGTCTAAATGATGTCAGCCTGGATGAGAAGCCAAAGCTGTACACCTCTTTTTTGAGGGAGGGAAGGGTGAGCTGAAGTTTCTGGTCTGAGCCCTGAAGAAGAGCCAGCCATGCTCCTCGTTTCATCCAGGGATGGGTGAGAAGCTGCTGCTTCTGGCCCCGGTGCCCTGGCCTTCCTCAGCAAGAGCTGCTTGCTGACTTGCTGGGTGAAGCAGGCAGAAGGGCTGTGATTATTTCGTGGTCCCAGTAGTCTGTGACCCTAGACTGCGGACAAGAGCTGATGGTAGTTGGTGCTCCAATGTCAACACCAGAACTGTGAAGGCCTGGGCTGTTCCTCAGGGAATAACAAGCCCCCGTGGTACCGCATCTTCTTCTTGCTCAGGTATTTGGGAGTCTCTGGATAATGGGAGGATGCAGCTGCTTAAGTTGCTGAAAAAGGTCTCTTGGGAAATGGCTCCAGAAGCTGCAAGGCAGAATTTGAGCTTTTGTCATTCCACTGCTTTAAAGGAAGGCAGAAGACATGAGGCAAGCAGGCTCTCGTGGTAGGGAAGAATGTTGTGATCCTAGTATAAGTCAGTGTGTTGTCATAAGTCCAAGTCTGCAGCCAGACTGAAACAAGAATTGAGAAGCCCTGTTTCCCTCAGGGCTGTTCAAAAGCTGTCAGTGCTCTCCGTTGACCTACTGCTGTTACTTCAAGTGTTTTGGTATTTCATGGCCACATTGTTGGCCAGGAGTTGAATGGTGGACTGGGTGGCCAGGGACAAGTGTCTGCTGCCAAGACCGAGCAGGTATCATTCACTCATCTCGTTGGACTGTAAAACCCAGCAGGGACCAGTTGGATCACCTTGCTTGCACCAATACTGAGTCTGGTCGCAGTGCTCCTGTGTGTGCTGGCCCATGTCACTCGGCTTCTGTGGGCTTCTCAGACCTTCCCAGTAGGAACTGCACAGTCACTGGGTGATGTATCAACAGAGAAACCAGCCCTGCTTTAAAAATGCAGCTGAAAGCAAACATGATGCAGGATGGAACTGTGTCTAGGGAGGGGGCTGGGGATATTCTGTTTCACATTGTGCGGTAGCTGCAGCGTAAAGCACATCCCCAGAGCTGCACAGGGCAGGAGCCACCAGCCACAACAGCCTTGCAGACACCCTGGCCATCCAACTGCTTCCCAGCTGTTGTTGGAAGTCTGCTGAGGGGCTTTTACCATCACAGTGATATTTTTGTTGTTTCCTATTGGGGTGATGAAAGTTCAACTTGCAAGCAACAGAACATGCTTGGGCAGCAAGGGACCTTCTTTTCGGTAATGGTGGCTGGGTGGGAGGTGCAATGATGAAATATCTTAGGATTTGCCTGTCACGGCCTCACTCAAATCCAAAAATTCCCAGCTCAGGTTCTGGCAGTGTTGGAGATGTTGCTGCTACTGGTGCCCATGGGCACAGCCTCAGGCAGTGCCTCCATTTCTCTGCTCCCCAGCACCTGCCCTCTGGGCTGCCTAGACCATATGTGTACATACATCTCACATGTGGTACCACTGTCCCAACAGCTCAACATCACACTGGTTTTGTTTGCAACATCTGCAGAGAGCAGCAAGGCCACACCATGAAGTATAATAATTATTTATTTGAACAATTTCCTGGGATGCTTTTTTTAATTTTATATTTTTGGGGGAGGGTGGAAGGGAGGTGTTTCGTTTTGTTTTTCTCTTCCTCCTTCCACAATGTAACTTTAGGTTTTAAGAGGGGAAGGAAAATAAAAAATAGAGAAAACAGATTGGTGGGACCGTGTCTTAGGACAAAAGGGCATTCAATGAAATTAGAAGGTGGTAAATTGAAAACAGATAAGAGGAAGTATTTTTATATGTGATGGGTCCAGACTAAGGAGCTTGTCACTGCAGGAGGTGGTGAAGGACAGCAATGTGATGGGTTTTGAAAGGGGCTGACATGTGGATGGGCAGTGGGAATGCTGAGAATTACCAAAGTCAGAAGAGGGCATATAGTATTAATTGGGTAGAAATACTAAGCTTTCGGGCAGAACATGACCTCTGTTTAGTGGAAGCTAGGATCTGAAGTGGGACTGGTTACTTCAGCACTTGGTGGTACTCCAGGATCAGATTTGAACATGCCTGGAACAAACCAGTGATGTGGAGAAGGTCATTCAGGGAGCCTGCAGCAGCGCCAAAATATGAGCACAGGTCCTGTGAGTGGCAGCCATGGGACCATCCTTCCTCTCGCAGCCAGGCTCAGGCTTCCAGAGCTGCTCCTCATGTGAATAAGGCGAGCAGGGCTTGGTCACAAACACTCTGGACCTGCCTCTAGTGAGAAATTGTAATTGCAAGTGTCAGGAAACTTGGGGTTTATTCCTCTGCATCAGTGTTGTTATAAAAATAATTCTCTTTAGAGATATTCATAAAAGTTAATGGAAGGCTTGAATAGAGCTTTTTTCCCTCCTACCAACATAATAAAATGTATTGCTTTTTCTCCCAAGTATTTTTATACTAGCAGGCAGTGGCTGCTGCTGGAGGAGAACTGTTCTAATGCTATAAAATGACTCCAGATGGAGACCCTCTCGCTGTTCGCTGACTTCAGGCCCAAGCAAAGCTGAAGCGTAATGCTTGTCCTGATGGTCACCATCCTTGGCCAGGAAATACAGGAATGTGTTTGGCTCAGGGAACAGCAGTGATCTCCCCTCATGATATTTGATTTATCAGATGTCTGTTAAAACAATAGTTTTGGAATGATTTTGAGATTTTCTTTAAGAAAAGGAAGAAAATGAAGATGAATTAAATGGGACTGGTGCTCTGGGCTTGACGGGTATAGCAAAGAAATGGGTGCCCCCAGATTTGGCATTAACAGTCATACTGGAAGTCTGGATGCAGTGCTCATGACAGATCATTTTCCCATCTGCTTGGGAAAGTCACGACTGCTCTCTCTCAACAGCTGATGGAGATGCAGCCAAAGCTTCTTCCTGGCAGGCTGAGCTGGCAAGGGCTGTCAATGCTCATCACAATCAGGACCAAATGCCATCAAAAAAATTAAAAATATAAAACTTGTGTGGTGCCCACTGTGTAGGGAAGGAAAAGAAACCTTTTTCCAGTGTGCAGAGGTACATTACTGCTGTGGTGGCAGTGAGGTGAGAGGCTGAACATACCCAGGGTGAGCTTGGCCCTGCTTGGGACATCTCCACAGAGCATCTTCTGTCCAAATGTGCTGCTGTAGCCAGCACCAGGAGGGTGTCCAGGCTGGAAAGATGACACCACTGTCAGAATATGCAGCAGCAGTAGTGAAATAAGGACTTTATGTGCCTTAGTGCTGAAATTCATCAGAATTTACCTATCAAGGTCTCAAATCCAAGCAAAGAAATCCTGGCTCTGGTGAACAGATGCTCCCTCTTGTTTCTTCTGTTCTGGAGAAGACAAAGGAAGTTACCCACTAGCTCATCCAAGCTAAGGCTTATATTAAAAAGAATCTTAGCTTCATCCCCCATTTTTTACTCTTGCAGAGAACCCACCCTTTCTCACCTACCAGATATTTTGTGCATATTGCGTGTTTTCTTTGGAAATGATTTGCACTAAGCTAATGTTTTTTTCTCTGTAGTCTGCCAGGTTTTCTGCTCTGTTCTAAGTGACCCACATTTAAACAGCTTGTCCTGGCTGCTGTGCTATTGTTCTGCACACATGTGCTATCACCGCTATTGCTGCTGGACTGTTTGTCTTTTGATTGCATGTGGCTTGAAGATTAAGCCTCAATGAGCCGGCACCATTAGGTTCTCATGAGTTTTCCTCTCCTCCAGCAGCTCAGCCTGGCAGGTGACTTTGGCATTGTTTTGCTGTGTGGGGCTACGTACGCACGTAGGAAGTTCACAGGGGAGATTTTTCAAGTTTTCCTTTCCTGGAGAGTGATCTGTAAACATGCTGTCAAAGCCAAGCATTTGATTTTTCTGTTGTCCTCACAGCAACATGCTGAGGATCAGCTGTGCGCCATGGCCTTCCCCCCTTCAGAAAACTTGGAGATTTCAAGGAGGGAATTGTAATCCATTGTTGGATACCAGTTCTGTCGGGTTTCCTTCTCTGCTGAAAACAGCCAACAGGAAAGTAATTACAGAAGCAGATGTGACTTGTGACGTAAATGTTACTTCTGGCCATTTTTTGCCTTTTTTTTTTAACTATTCCAACAGGGTGATTCCAAAGCAAAAGTCAACTGGTACACGAGACACATGGGCCTATGGTGGCAATTTCAAGCTTTTTCTTGGCTCAGTCAGGTCCAGGGACAGTTTGCAATACCTTACCAATCATTTTTTCAAATTAAATTAGTCAGTAAGAGAAATTTTCAGAGCAGCCTCAATATATGCATCCCATGTAACTGCCTGCAATGAATCCCACTACTCTGTCCTCTGACTTACTGATGTCTCTGTCCTGAGCAAGATATTGAAGTGTTGCTTGTAATTCCTTTGGAGTAATAAATCAGTAAGTATTTTCCATCTCATGTTTCTTTTCAAGACAAGTTAATTCCATAGTCTAAAGACTTAAGTAAAGCTGAATTTAACTATTTAGGTCTTTCAAATCACCTCATTTTCAGGATATCATATGATTTCTGCTGCATCAGATGGAGCTGTAGCAAAGTGTTTGTAGGCTCTCTAGATGCTCACTTGTCTTGGTATTTTGTAAGGATGAGCCCAGTGAGCCATCGAGCTTGATCTCCCTCTCTGTTCGTGTTGAGGTCAGCAGTCTGAATGACCACTGGTCCCTTGGCACAGCCCCTTGCCCGAGCAGTCTTGTATCAGTGAGTCACCCAGGGCTGTGAACTGTCTCCCCAGACAGCTGCAGCCCGAGACCTTGTGTCTTCCTGCACCAACAACTGGATGTGTCCCTGAGCTTCCCTGATGCCAATGCAGCAGTGCTTTGGTGCCAGCCTTCAGCTACACACCAGCCTTGGAGTCTCAGAGAGAGCAGTAAACACAACTGTTGGAGCCCCAGTAGTCAGACCCTGAGGATGCTCATCTCTTTATGCACAAGACTTTAATTCTTCCCAAACTCACCTGGCAATGTCTGCCCAAAGCTCACGTGTCAGCTGGAAACTGGATGCACAGGCTATTACTGACTGACCAACCACCAGCTGGTGGCAGAGCCAGGTATATGTCTGGTACAATAGGTACACATGTCATGTGTCAGCTCGCAGCAGTGCATGTCCCAGCAGGCAGAGAGCATGGCTGCTGTTTGCCTTGCTGCTGCCCAGCGCCGCAGGGTCCCTGTCCCTGCCCACGGCCCCAAGCACTGCAGCCATTCAGAGACAGCAGAGGGAGTAGTGGACATTATACCTGCATGTGAATTAGGGCACAGTAAAGCTTAGTTTATTTCCTACCCTTCACTGGCAAAGGTTTTGCTTTCATGTTCTGGAAGGGGTGGCTGAGAAAAGGAAGTTGGCAGCCAGAGCTGACAGGCGTGGCCACCAGCATGCTGCAGCTCCGAGTGGCACCTGTTAATACAAGGGCTGACTTCGTCTCACGTTAAGTTATTCAAATGCTCATATTTCTGACAGGAAAAAAATTTCTTCCAAAATGTGCCCTGCCTCATTAACAGTCCCCACCCAGGGACCTCCTTTTAACTTCTCCAAGCTTCCCAGCATCTCACCACAGGGACCCGTCAGGGACACAATAGCTCCGGCCTGTTTATTTCATTTCACTTTTCCTCTCCGCTTGGCCAGCAGAGATGTTCTTTGCAAAGATAATAGTTTCAACTTAATCATTCACCTCTTATGTGTCTAAAAGGAGTTAAGGAGACTGGAAGTTTCCAAGAAAAATAAATGAACAGAACTCTTTCAAGGGGGCCTCTTTAAGGCTGTTTTATTGATTAAAAAAAATAAAAAAAGCAAAAGCAGCAAGCTGTTCCCGCACATCACCCCTGCCCTATTTATTTTTTAAATGCATGTTTAAATTTGGAGGGACAGTCATGAATAGAAGGATTATGAAGTGTTTCTCTTTGTGAAGGGATTTGCAGCATGTTTAGAGAGATGATTCCAATGTGATATTCGAGTTGTGTACATTCTGGGAGTTGTAAAGTTGGATCTGGACCCTGAGAGACTCCTTCCTAGGCCTGCATGTGGATGGACAGGGAAAAGCTCACCCATTTATTTAGGTTGGTTGGTTGGTTTGTTTGTTTGTAAGGGGATTGTGATTCTGTCTGGTTCCTTTTGGGGTTGTTAATTTTGTCATGCCCTGAAAGTCCAATCTTTCAGAAAGTCGGAGGACCCAGTCCCTTGATGATGGATCCCATTGGGTTGCCTCTAGTTAAGCAGCCGCTATCACCAGCTCCTTTTGGAAATAAGACCTTTATTTAAGTCACAGAAAAAACATCTTCCTTCCACCTGGCCTGGCTGAGGGACAGTGATTAAAACACATATCTTTCTCACTCACATATCCTGTCCATGGAGCTATTGAGAAAACGTATGTCCTTGGGAGCTGTTGATAAAAATAAAAGGTTGTCTTTCAATAGGGCTTAAAAGGGGCATTTTTATTTTATTGAAAACCTGAAAAATGTGATGGTTTTGGGAAAGAAGCAAGAGAAATCCCTGTTCACTTGTAGATGGGTGTGGATTAAGCCACCATCACTAAGCCTGAACCTGAAGAGTGAGATCCTAAATCATAAAACTACGGGGGAATCCATGTTTTCATTTAACCATCACACCAAAAGCAACATTATGGTGGATGCTAAACCATAGTCAGAAAAAAAATGCCATCTGGAAAGGCTGGAAGGACCTGGCAGGCTGCTCTGGGCTCAGCTCCCTGAAATGAGATAGTTGGTGGTTTCTCCATAGCACCCCGAGAGGAGAAATTGCTCCTGTCATTGCTGTCATATCAGTCAGAGAGGGGAGAGACAGAGCCTTCTGCTGGCAGAGCAATGCAAGAGAACAGCACACAGCAGGGATCTGCCAGAATCCAGTCAAACCAGCAACACAGACAGATCCCCCCTCCCCTGCTCTGTCTCTCTGTGTTTTTCTCTACCTTCAAAGAAAGCTTCTCTGTGGAAAAAAGTGAAATATATGAATTCACAGCAAAGTGACTATGTGGTGCTCTGAGCTCTCTGTTGTGGTGCTGCCCTTTGCTCATGCTTGAGTATGTGTATATGAACGTACACGTACTTAGCACCTTCTCCCTCCGGGTAAGGAGGGTCTCTGCCTGATCCTGCCTTTAGAAAGCAGGATTTCTTACGGGTACAGATTGTAGGACTCATGCAAATATCCATGAAATAGCGGAAAAGGGAATAAATTTGCAACTGTCATGTACTATTCAGAAAAATTCCTGCAGTGCAGACACCCACTTTCCAGACTTTGACGGTTTGGGGAAAAATTATCCTGCTAGGTGGAGTGGGATTTCTAGCTCTTCTCTTCAGCAAATGAAGGGCTGAATTTAGCAAGTTTGGAGTGAGATGGAAGCAAAACATCCCTTCTTCTCCTCTCACTCTTTTTCCCTCTTTTCCTGGGCATGCAGCACCCCCCTTCTTAGAAAACACATCTTCACAGACCTGTTAATTTTCATAAGGCTGTGATGAAGCTCTGGCCTTGGCATGTGTTTCCCTTCCCCCTCCCTGAGCACTCCAGTAACCACACATAACCCAAGCCCAGCACTTTCTGCATGACTCAGATTTTTTTTTAAGAACTAGAATCCAATGGACGTTTTCTTCGTTGATACCACTGGGACTAGAGGTCTTTTTTTTCCCACCAACCTTAAAAACATGCTGATATACTGCAAATTTTTTCTCCTTTCCAATATTTTGTTGTTATTAAAACAGCACCAAGTCCCACAGCACCAAAGGATGGGATCTCTCTTGCTCTTTTCTCCCTTCCTCAACAGTTAATAAAAAAATGAAAAAGGGTAATTATCCATAAAAGAAAACATTGAAGGACACTTGTACTATCCCTGGTGGCTGGATTGAACTGGGGCACTGGTAGTGCAGAATGGAAACATGGCACAGATTGCCTGCAGCTGGACAACCTCCGCCCTGGAGCACAAATAGGAGAAGGGGGATCAGCTGCCATCCTGACAATGGGTCATGCTGGAAAAAACCTGCAATTTTTTTAGACCTGAGGAGACATCCAGCTGAGGCTGGGCACATGTCAGCAGTGCCAGGTGAAGAGCAGAAAATGTCTTTGTGAAGGCAAAGCAGTCCCTCTATCATCCAGGACCTTGGTCCCAAATACAAGCAAAAGTGCTGCAGGAAAGATTAGGTTGAAGAGTAAGGCAGTGAGCTCCCACTCAGAGCTGTCTGAAGACAAGGAAGTTTTGGAAGGGCTGTCACCAGCTTTGGTTGCAATGTAATGTGGCACATACAATCTGCATGATCTCCTGTGCTGGAAACGTAGTTCTACAGTGGGTGTCTAGGAGAGTGCATGCTTGTGCTGGCTTGACAGCAGGGATGGTCCAGCCCTGATCTTCCACTGAAACCACAAGCAACATGTGGAGTCAATGTGTGTTTTCTCATGTGAATCCTGATGAGTTCAAACGAACAGGTTTGGGGCCACGGTTCCCATCTGACATTGCCTGCTTGACGTGATTATTCAACCCCGAATTCCTCCAGTTGACAGCCGTGCTATTTCCAGTCTCTTAGTCAGCATATACCACTCCGTTTCCCAGTCTGATGAGACCTGGTTTTTCCCACACTCCTCCTTAAATGGAAACACATTGTTCATCTTCATTTTATTTATTTATTTGGTATAAAAAAACAAGATAATGCTATAACTTTGAAGTGCTGGCTCTACAATGGTTGGTTCCTTTTTGGAGCAATGGGTTTTCCTAAAAGCCACTCTCAGCAAGATCCTTATCAAACTTTCCTTAGCAGGAGACAATGAACATTTCACAGCATGAAGAGGAAAAAAATAAAAAGGTTAGTGAGAAGACAAATGCTCTATGTGAAGAGATAGCCAGGGAGTAGATGAGATCCCCCAGCCTTGTAGACAGATTATTTTCTGTCTAACAGTTTCTGAACATTTCAGTCGTTGAGTCAGTTCCAGAGTTTATTGAGGGGTGAAAACAGGGACCTGGGCATTGTCTGGACACTTCTGTTTGGGACCTATAAACTTCACCCTGATCTGTCCAAATACCTCACTGCCAGTAGCTGCCAGGGTTGGCAATTAGGATGAGATCCGGAGCAGGGACACAGGTGCCTCTGCAAGCTGTCAAGGGTGACTTTCCACAGCAGGTCACAATGGGACCAGTCTGTTTCCTATTGGGCTGTGAAACTGGTGGTTGACCTGCATGGTGGCACTTGGGGCTGTAGAGAGAGAAGCCTCCTGTGGGAGCCCAGCTGCCAAGCCTTGTGGTGAAGGGGCCTCTCCTAAACTTCTCACATGTTAAGTGAATGTCAAAGGATGCTCTGAGCAGGGACAACCTGGGGTCAGTTTCAGACCTGACCTCTCCTAAAAATACCAGTGCCACAGGACAGCAGATCTGGGAGATAAGCAAATACAGTAAGGGATCATCCTAGCCAATG